TCTCTGCCTCTCCCCTTCTCGTGCTCTGTCTGTATCTCTCTGTCTCTCTCAAAAATAAGTAAACATTACAAAAAATTAAAGTTTACAATTCAGTGGTTTTTGGCATATTTACTTACTTGTGCAACTATCACCACAATCTAATTTTAGCTACATATACCTGGGATCATATTATTTATTTATGTTTGTTTATGTTTATTTATTTTGAGAGAGAGCAAGAGATTGTGGGAGGGGCAGAGAGAGAGGGGGAGAGAGAGAATCCCAAACAGGCTCCGTGCCGTTAGCACAGAACCCAACATGGGACTCGAACTCATGAACTGTGAGATCAAGGCCTGAGCCAAGATCCAGAGTCAGATGCTTAACTGACTGAGCCACCCAGGCACCCCTGGGATCATATAATTTATAAAAATGGAAGCAGTGTGTTCTACTCTTGATCTTTGTTTGTTGAGGTACTCTTGAATCACTATCAGTTTGCCATTTGATTATTCAGTTTTTTCCTTTGACTTTCAGTCAGGTACATGAAATATTGTGGGTGGAAATTTCATAAAAATCACTGAGCAGAAATGAAAATAAACAATTATTCTCTGCTGCTTTGAAGATAAATGAGTGCTGTGAATTTAGTAAACTTTTTGAATATTATTATTTTTAATTTTTTAAATGTTTATTTATTTTTGAGAGAGAGAGAGACAGAAACAGAGTGTGAGCAGGTGAGGGGCAGAGAGAGAAGGAGACACAGAATCAGAACTAGGTTCCCGGCTCTGAGCTGTCAGCGTAGAGCCCGATGCAGGGCTCTAACTCACGAACCGTGAGATCACGACCCGAGCGAAGTCAGATGCTTAACCGACTGAGCCACCCAGGTGCCCCTGAATATTATTTTAATATTTATTTAGACTGCTTCCTCAGACATGTTTACAAGCGGTCATATTATCACATTGTATGTGACAAACTTGGGCCTAGGTTTTTCCAACCATTATGTTTGAGGCGCTGTGCTAGATTGTTGCTGACTCTGGAACAGAGACTCAAGCTGAGACTGAGGCCTACAGTTCAGTTCACTTATTCCTGACCTGCTGAGGAGCTACTCTTTTCTAAGTAATTTTCTTATTAAAAAATAAAATGAAAAATTAAACTGTCCATGAAATCAGATGCAAAAATATATAGAAAACACTCCTACTTAATAGAGAAAAAGTAAATGAAGTTTAAAGGAAATGAAAATAAGATGTAATGTCTTTTGCTTTATTCTCTGGCAGTGAAATTAACTTTCGAATGTAAGCAAGCAAGAATCTAGGAAAAAAGAATTGTTACTCACATCCTTATGATAGAAACAAAACCTTTAGTAGTTATTTTTAGGGTCTTTAAAATGCTTAAGATATTAAAAAAATTTTTTTTAATGTTTATATTTGAGAGAGAGCGAGCGAGACAAAGCGTGAGTCTGGGAGGGGGAGAGGGAGAGAGAAAGAGGGAGACACAGAATCCGAAGCACCCTGCAGGCTCTGAACTGTCGGCACAGAGCCCGACATGGGGCTCGAACCCATGAACTGTGAGATCATGACCTGAGCCGACGTCTGATGCTCAAATCGACTGAGCCACCCAGGTGCCCCTGCCTAAGATATTTTTGATGCCCGTGTATTTGGGTGTCAGCATCTCTTTATTAACCCTATTTAGATGTATCGGAAAGCAGTATTCTGAAATGCTTACTATGGGTAAGTAGTTTAGAATAATGTTCTTCAGAATTGCGGAATAATGGGAGTGGCTAAGCCAAAAAAAAGAAAAAAATCGGGCTGGCATGCCCTGTTTCTTTAGCACATTATGTTCAGGTGCTAGTTTCAATCCATTTTAAAATTCAAGGTGTTAGGTGAAAAAGCAGACTTCCTCTTCGGCACAAGGAGTCATTGGTGTGTAATGCTTGCATTATTTCACTGACATTTGAAGTTGCTAATTTTATTGTTAAAAAGAAAAATCTCCAAGTCTGTTTAGGATAGAGTGTTAAATGTGTGTGTGAATTATAGGGAAAGGTGAAAGATGCTGTGGTCTGGTTGACTCTACAAGAGAAAAAACTACAGAAAGTGCTAAAGGATTCAGAAAATGAGACCTGCTCTAAAAAGTATGATGTAAGTATGACTTTAAACAGCAATTTGTTTGCAGCTTACTCTTAGGGAGGAGTAGGATGTTTTTGGGGAAAAAAAGTCTTGCAGAGTTAATTACATAAATGCTAAACTAACTTCAAATTTTAGCATCACGTTCTAGGAGCGCTTCTCAAGTTTTAATGTGCACGTGAACTCCCTGGGGAATCTTGTTAAAATGCGGATTTTTTTTTTTAAGTTTATTTATTTACTTTGAGAGAGAGAGAGAGGGAGAACATGAGCAGGGGAGGGGCAGAGAGATAGAGGGAGAGAATCCCAAGCAGCCTGTGCGCTGTTAGCACAGAGCCCAATGCAGGGCTCAATCTCACGAATCGTGAGATCGTGACCTGAACCGAGAAGAAGGTACTTAACTGATTGAGCCACCCAGGTGCCCCTAAGATGCAGATTCTAATTCAGGAGACCTGGGGAGGGGCCTGAGATTCTGCATTTCCAGCAAGCTTCCAGGTGTTGCTAATACTTGGTCCTTAAGGTACCTTGAATAGTAAATTTTATAGCAGGGTGTGGCAAACTGGTCTGTGGGCCCCACCAATTTGGTAAATTAGGTACTCCTGGAACACAGCCATGCCCATGAAGGTACGGTCTGTGGCTGCCTTTGCACTGCAACGCCAGAGTCAAATAGTGGCAATAGAGACCGTATGGCCCTCAAGCCTAGGCATTTACTATCTTGCCTCTTACAGTAAAAGTTTTCCAGTCCAGAGTCTAGAGCAGAACTAGGTTATATGGAATGAAAAAAAAAGATCAGGAAGTAAAAAATGAAGCCAACCCCAAGTTATAACCCCCAAGTGTAGGGCCTCAACCGAGGCACCCTTTGAGGAAGAACGACAACTATGACTGTCACCACATTTGAATATCTGCAGTGTACCAGGCACCTTGCTGACGAGCGTTTTATGCATCACAGCATCTTGCTGAACTTGGTGGTGTTATTCCACGACACCTGAGGTTACACAGCTACTGCCAGGGAGAGGCGGGTTCGCGTGAAGTCTAGCCTCGAAGACCCAGCTCTCTATTTCGTGGGGTTCCTCCTGGGTGACCAGGAGAACCTGTACCATCTTGAAGGAGCCTAACAGGAGCCGAGATGAGGATTTTTCAGCCCTGTTCCTTAGAACCCACGGTCCCTGCAGCTCTGCTCCCCATCGGATTTCCACTGGGAATAGAGCAGGGGTACGGTCACGTGCTTGCTCCGCACTTAGCACCTGCAGGCTGAGTGGGCGAGTTGGATGAATCCAGCCTGTCCCACGCCAACATTCAGCGGATTGTGTGGCTTACTGGCAACAGCATCCTTTTTGGTTTAGAGGCATCAGGGCAGAAAGGGATGGGATGTTCTTGTCTTCCTTCCATCTGGATCGTACAGGTTTTTGTGCTGCTTCCATCTTTGGCCTGATATGTTTTTCATTGACAAGAGGCCCAGCGTCCCCGGAAGTGCTTTACTCTCACCTACCTCTTTGATTTAGTAAGGCACCACAGATTCCGCTTTCTTGAATAAAAGGCCTTAGGGAGTTATTAGGGGTGAGAAAGAATTACAGTAATTATCCCTTGGTTTGCTCATAAAACTTAATCTTTCCCCAAATTCAATTTATTTATTTACTTTTTAAGGTAAGCTCTGCGTCCACCATGGGGCTTGAACGCACGACCCCAAGATCAAGAGTCACATGCTCTATCGACTGAGCCAGCTGGGCACCCCAGCTCCTAAATCTTCAGCCAAAATGAAATGAAATAAAATAAAATAAGATAAAATCTGCCAATTATTATGAATAAGGGCTGAAACAATATTTATGGAATTGGTGACTCTTAAACACGAACTTCACACTAATACGAGCCCAGAAAGGCTTAATTTATTAAATTTTCGAGGGACAACATATTTTCTCAAGTCTGTAAAAAACAACTTGGGAAGCAACGGCTCGAGCACAGTTAATCATAGACACGTTTGTCCGTGATGACCGCTGCTGGATAGTTCTCACTTCCGCTCATGCTTATTTTGTTGTGAACACATATCCAGGGAGGACAGAGAAACTCCCATTTTCCGTGTGGCGTCGTGATTTGTCCTCTAGAGCTGGGTGACCTTGCCGCTCCATTCCCTTAGAAATCCAACAGTGCTGACGAGACACAAGCTGTGACTTGTGTTACCATGAGGGCACTCAAGTGATCAGGGTGCACTGAAGAAAGGTACCAGATCAGTGTAGAGGACCCTGAATCCAGGGAATCGTACCTCCCTTTAAGTAAAAATTTAAACATAACCTTCAGTGATAGACCTTAAAATAGCGGATTACCTTATATTAACTGATTTAAAATTTCTGTCTTTAAAATATTCTTCTGATGGTAGAGCCTGCTGTCCTTTTTGGAGTCCTTCAATGAAGGAAAAGAGCCCTTTTTGGACATCCTGCCAATAGAAAAGAACTTGGATGAGCTGAATGAAGATCAGTTACAGTTGAGAGAAGTCTGGGATGGCCTCAACTACCAGGTTACCGTGTTATGTTGATTAGAACATTTTCGTGGGGCAGCTTTGTTTGTTGGATGATTAGACTTCCATGGGGAATGCTGTAAAAGAGTAGATGCTTCATCAGAAACTTGGGAGAGTATTCTTTTCTTTTCTCCAGGGTCTCGCGTGGGTAGTAATTGATCTTTAAATAGGAATTTAGAGCATTCTGCTTGGAAAAGCTGCTTGTCCAAAGTTTTTATATTTGCTATCAATGATTGCCTTGCTAGAGTAGATTATCCATATTCTGACTGACCAGCCTCACCTTTTCCGTGGACCAGTGTCCTGTGTAGCCATCAGTAGGTTCTCGGAGGGGGTTAGGGATGAGCCTAGAGAGAACGTGTGAAGATGCATGTGTATGTGTGTCTGAATATATCTGTATGATTTCAATTGTTTTCGGTTTATTAAGATTTGTGTTATGACCCGAGACATAGAGCATGTTGGTGTAATACCATTTGCACTTAAAATGAACATGTATTCTGTAGTTATTTGACACAGCATTCTATAGATATCAGTTAAGATAAGGTGGTTGATCGTGTCAGATTATCTATGTCTTTAAAAAAGAGTTTTTTTGGGGCGCCTGGGTGGCTCAGTCGGTTAAGCGTCCGACTTCGGCTCAGGTCACGATCTCACAGTCCGTGAGTTCGAGCCCCGTGTCCGGCTCTGGGCTGATGGCTCAGAGCCTGGAGCCTGCTTCCGATTCTGTGTCTCCCTCTCTCTGTGCCCCTCCCCCATTCATGTTCTGTCTCTCTCTGTCTCAAAAATAAACGTTAAAAAAAAAAAGAAAAAAAGTTTTTTTTAATGTTTGTTTTTGAGCGAGAGAGACAGAGCACGAGCAGGGGAGAGGCAGAGAGGGAGATGCAGAATCTGAAGCAGCTCCAGGCTCTGAGCTGTCAGCCCAGAGCCTGATGTGGGGCTTGAACCCACAAACCGCGAGATCATGACCTGAGCTGAAGTCAGATGCTCAACTGACTGAGCCACCCAGGCGCCCTGGATTATGTTGATATTTTTAGAATTTCATTTTATCTATTGACCTTTTTTTAAACATTTAACTGATTAATTTTTAAATGTTTATTTGTTGTAGAGAGAGAGCACGTGGGGGAGGGGCAGAGAGAGGGGGACAGAAGATTCAAAGCGGGCTCTGCACTGATAGCAGTGAGCCTGATGTGGGGCTTGAACTCATGAACTGCCAGATCATGACTTGAA